CAGGAGACATAGCAGATGACATGGAGTGTAGTGTAGTGTAGAGTGTTAGTTAGGCCTTAGAAGGTATAAAGTAGTTCAAGGCGTTTTCCCTTGGAATTTTTCCAGTTTCGGAAGTGCAGATCAAGAACTCATTTTCTGTGCGCGTTTGTGTACTTAGTTCTGTCACCGCGCAAGAGGAGCTACAGCTTGACGAAGTTACCACATTTTGTAGCTAAAGGCCTTCGGCCGAATACTCAGAGCTAGTGTGCTGCTTAGATACTTGAGCAGTTTGGACCTACACCTCCAGGTGATTGCTGAATGCTCAGAGCTAGTGGACTGGTTAGACACTTGAGTAGTTTGATTTTACACCTTCGGGTGCTTGTTCCTAAATGTACTCCTTCGGGATTTTTCCCCTGAATGCCGAAGTGAAGTTTTGTCACTTCAAGTAAGCCTTGGTTGTAAATTCAGGTTACGCTGTAGAAGACGCCCTCGGAGCTAGCCTCTGTAGTATTTTTGGGAATGACTAGTGCTTGAGAATTAAAACTCGTCAATAGATTGTTATGGTGTGACACTGGATCTTTTCTCAGTTGAGGTTCTCAGTTTGGTTGCTGTATTCTCTGCGCGTTTTGTGAGTTGAGTGTGTTGTTCACCGCGTGTGAGTGACTTCGGTTTGACGAAGGTACCGCATCCGAAGTAGGAAGTCCAACCTAGGTGCCCTGCGCTAGCAAAAACTAGTGGAAGGGTTGTAAAAGCCGGAGTTGGGAGTCACTACCTGCAAAGCCTCTGAGTGTACTCCTGAGAAACTTTCCCCCTGAAACTTGAGTGGAGGTCCTAATCGAATTCTTAGTTGTGCTTTTCCAGTTTCACGTGTTTGTTGGGGTGAACTACGCTTCACTGTGCGTCCTCCGAGCGACCTCCGAGTTGAGCACTTGCAGTATTTCTGGGAGTGACAGTCGCCTGAGAATTCAAACTTTTCAATAGTCTGTTAAACGTGACACTTTGTACTCTGTGTGTTGCCTCTGTCCCTGTGGGTTTGACCTTTTTGCTGCTATACTGCAGTTTTAGCCTTTGGTGGGTTATTACAAGAGGAAGAAAACAAGTAACCATCAAATTGTGTAAATTGAACAAAACGTGTGCGAGCATTAAAGTCTCAAACAAGAAAAACTTCAACTTTGTCTTGATATTTACGAACATATTTTATAAGCTGATGGAATTATGGACTTCGATTGCAAGTGCTTGTGAAGTAGATCTGCATATATAATGGTGCAAAGTAACAAACTGCCAAATAACTCCAGTCAATCCAAGACGAAGTCAATGATATTGTTTCCCAATATATTGGCTTTTCAAATGTATCATAGGAAGAAATTCAGATCAGATAAATGTGGCAATGCCTCGAAAACCTCTTTTTATTCGTCGACTTGTATAGGTTCCAATAGATTTCATCAAAGCAAATGCTTGTATCTCCCCGATAGCATTGATCTCATGCTCCCAAGTATCCACAATGTTGATCCATCTTTTAAATTGGATTTGGTGTACTTTGTTGTAGATAGAACTCTTATGTTTCATATAAACACACTCAATCTCTTGGATTGCTACATTGATGATTGTCTTTTTCTCTAAGCAATAATAGCTTGACTATCACGTAGAGAAACAACTAAATCTGCTGCTTGAACTTCTTTGACTTCAGTAAGCTCCTTACTCCTTGCTTCAACTTGTAGAGGTGTAAGATCAAAATGTAACCAAATCATTTGTATCTTGAGAATGGCCTTGTTAACTATAGTAGTATCACATTAAGTTTGATACACAAATTTAACAATAATGGTACTATTTTGTGCTCCTTTGTTTCCAATACAAAAAGCTTAAGCCAAATCTAGATAAAAAACCTCAAGTGTTTTAGCCAAAAACTTGGTGATAACACTCTTCACCTCTTGCTTCTTAGATTCATGTAGACCAAAATTACTTACATTCTTCCTACGAGCAAATTGATTTGCCTTTTCAATCTCTTGCTATTTACAGAAAGAGATTTGAACAGACTTGGTATCTTCAGCATAAGATTTCAATTTCATCTCTAAACTTTCAACCACTACATGCAATTCAGTAGTGATAAAAGTAAAAGCTTAGAAACTAATATTTTCTTGAATGTTTTCAACTCAAACCATCTTTAGTTAGTTTGAACCAAAGTAGAGTTTACTCTAAAAGTTGATATAGATATTTTAGCGTGCACTAGTCGTAGTTGCCACGTCAGCAATTTGCGCACTTGATAGGTAGAGAGAAGGTGTGTTAGTTGACAACGCCATGTCAGCGATCCGTGTGCTTGTTAAGGTTATCCGCCACGTCATACATCCACTAGGAGTGGGATGGGTGGTGGGGATAACTTATTACCTCATTGTACTTGTTGGTGAGAGCTACGTAAGAGAGAGTAGAATCATTGTTGAGATCTCCCATCTTCAAAGTTTATGTTTCTATATTGGAGTGAACTTCTCTCTAAATCATAGTGTTACATCAACAAATCCTGAAATTTCAAGCATGATCTTCTCAAAACTTTTGTGATATACTTTCAACTTCTAAATTTTATTTTCTTGCAATATTGAAGCCATCATTTTTGTATATTGAATATTTGTCATAGCACTTTCAATTCTTCCAAAACCGTTTGCACAAGATTGAGTAGCTTGTCTTCAAAAATCATCATGTACTTCACTTTGCAAAGTTTTATACAAACTCAAAGCTTGAATTTGACAACTTCTTCAAATTGGCTCCGTTGTGGCTAAAATTTTGTAAGCATTTGCACCTAGCCAAAACTCAACAACCTGATTTCAGCTCTAGTTGACACTTCTGTCCAAAGTTAAGGCTACCACAAGATCCAACCTCCAAAACCTAAACTCAAAGCTCCGAATTGAGAATTTTTTCAAGCCTTCTCTGTTGTGGCTGAAATTTTGCAGGCATGTGCGTCGAGCCAAATTTTACAAGCGTACTAAATTTAAGCTTCAATTGATACTCTAGCACAAAAATATGGATATGGCAAGATATAGCTTCCACAACCTAAACTCAAAGTTCTAAAATGAGAACTTCTTCAAACTGCCTTCGTTGTGTCTAAAATTTTGCAGGCATGGACGCCTAGCCAAACTCAAAAATTCCACTAAATTTATGAAACTCGGAGTCGCTTGACGGCCTTAGTACAACAAGAAGGACAAATAGCTCACCAGCATTTTGACACTTACGTCTCTCCACATGGCCTTAAGTTTTGTCTCTTGATTCTTGTATTCAATAACTCACTAATAAAAATCCGTTATATTTCACCATTAATTTAATATATGTTACTTTAATAGATATTCTTTGGCAAAGGAAAAAAAAATAAAATTTATAGTAATTTTACTACATAAAAAACATACACCTAACACAAGATGATGCCAAAATGTAAGTATTATAATGTGATGTTCAACTAAGAAATACCATGATCATGAATCATCCTTATACAAACAAAAAATACAAAATCGATAAACAAAAATTCTCAAAAAAATTCTCGTTTTTCTTACAATTTTTCATCTTCATACAAATTTTTTAAATTATGTGCTTCATAAAGCATTTTTTTATGGATAAGATAAAATTAATAAATTATGAAGGCCATGAAGATGTAATATTCAGATTTCATACAAGGTTTGGAACAAATTCAACTTTCTTCTCTTGACGGGCCACAAAGATATATGTGGCCCGTCAATTTATGATAGTATATTAATTTATATGGATATGTATTTTTAATTCTAATCTGTGATAATCTTTCATAAAATAATTAAATACTATATTTATTCATTCTGTATGCTAACTTTCATTATGATTTACTTCATATGCCTAACAGCAAATAAATTAGAATATCTTAATGAGAACTTGCTTGATGAGAGATTGAAGTCTTCGTGCAAGGCAAGGTAAATACCTTGCGTTCCATGAGGTATATTGGCCTCGAAATTCCAATTTAGACTACCAATGCCTTGTGAATGAAGGTGTGAGAATAATCTTGATAATCATATCAAGATGATTCTCGACCTCGTGAACAAGTATATGATAATCTTAGAAGGGCCTTTCAGATACCACCTGTACAGGTTCTAATGTGCAAGTTGGTGGAAAGTACCGATCATTACTCTCAACGAAGTATGGAGATTGTATCAAAGATGAATCCGTTCCTGAGGCAAAACTGCTATCATAACTTCGGGGTACTGGCGGCACTGCTTTCCTCAGTGTTCCTTTCCATGCAGATGTTGTCATACACATTTCTGTAGTAATTGGCTTTCGGCCAGTGGCAGCAATGTGGAGGGCAATTAATCAAGAGGGGAGAGTGAAAGACCTTACTTTCCCTTCGGTATCAAATAAAACGAGGTTTTTGACGCCGTCGGAGTTGTATACAAGAAGGTCATTGACGAAAAGAGTTGAAGGAAACATACAAAAGAAAGTCGTTGACTCTTTTGATAGCATTTTTTTCCGAAGCAGCTGCAAATGAGGAGTCTCAGAGTCTGCGTGGCAGCATACCCAAGTCCTTGCCTCCCAATTCAAAGCGGTGATCAGTCCAACCTTACACATCATTGCGAGAACTTCGAATACGCTGATTTAAGACATGGCCCCAGGTAAGATGATCGCCATCTTTCTTATATTCGTTATTTGAGACCTCGCCTTGCCAAGGAACGACTTGGTCGATGGATGAATATAAACTGATAAGTTTGCGCCTAATAAAAGAGAGAAACAATTTGAACTCTTGAGGCAAATTTGTATCCTGCCGATATTCGACAAAATATGGTATATTGCAATAGATCGGTGGCCGGATTCCACTGTAATGAACAATGCTTCAGATATTTCATTCAGGATAACCTTCACTACACACGTGCAGAGGCAACCCAGTGGCTAATAGGGTGAAGCATGTGTGCTGTCAAGACACTGTCATACTTGTATCTAATGCACTGCTTGTGAGTAGTTGGCGTAAATTTACACAACAGCACCATGTACATCATTCAGTAGAAAGAGCATCCGAGATTATCTCAACTTATTTCACTTTATTAGGCGCCATGCAAGAGAGTCTCAACATGCACGAAGAGAAGGACAAGGAATACTCGGATATTTATCAGGTTCACAGTGTACGGAGCTTCAGTTCATGAAGCGTTCTCGCACGGCCTGATATCCCTTATTACCTCTTCTGAGATCTAGGTTTCTGGTTGTCTGCGCTTAAATCTAGATGTATGAAAGCGACAGAATTCATGACGTGAAAGTGACCCTGCAACTCTGAGGATACACGGAGTTGTATGTGGCAGACTTCGCAAAGTTCTGGAAATCTAAGTTGCAAAGAGAGGTGTAGTTGACCGGGTTATCAGTAAATTTTCCAGCGAGGGCCCATAATGCGATTTGCCTGTAAAAGGCTTCGGTAAAATGTACACCATCCCAGTTAACATACTCGTCCGGGTTCGCACACTTGTTGGACCCTGCTTTACCGCAAGTAATGAGAGGGTTGTAGTTGAGGGTCCCAACTCCAGGCGCTCCGCAGCAGGCACGCTTGGTCAAAGCTGGATTGAATCCTGTCATTTAAATGCACAAGAAGACAAGAGAGCTTGAATTCAGTTATTCACGCATTCAAAGAAGAAGTCTCATGTTCTATGTATGCACTTCAATTCGTGATCCTGCAACTTCAAGGTGGGAATGAGCTCAAAATATACCGTAAAGAGATGGATTTGTCAAAATTTCCAAGTTGGCAGCGTAGTAGTTGAAGATGGAGAAGGTTCTGCCAGGATATAAAAGCCGAGCAGTTGTGATTGTATCATTAAGAGCTTTGTTGTAGGCTTGATCCAGCTGATTGATAAGCACAACACAGCCCATAGCGTCTTTTTGTACCCCGGGTATGGGTCCCAGAACAGTGATAACTATGGTGCTGCAGCCTGCATTCGGGAGATTGAAGATGATGAACTTTTTGGCACCATTTGAAGTTAAGATCTGTACAACAAGAGATTAAATGAGACACTTTGGCTGATCATCCGCACCTCTCGAAAGGCATAAGGGACACAGGAACACAGTTCATCTAAGAATCGTGAGTCTCAGCATTAAATATTTAGTACAAGCTTGCGTTCAAGTACAAAAACGATAAGATGATAATGTAGAAATGAGACAAGCTTGGTGGCTGTGGATGGTTATAGCAGAACAATCCTAGAACCTTTATTCTGTCATTTGTCACCATTGCACAGGTTCGTTATTCCTTCTTCAATAACTTAGTATTTGGAATGATCTTAACTCATCCGGTTCCCAATTTTTCATATCTTGTGAGCAGCAAGAAGACGGTGGGCAAAGACTGCGCAATTTCTTTTCTTTCTCTCATAAAGTGTTTACCTTGATACTGTCGAGGATGTTAATCATGGCCGCAGGGATCACTTGAGTTAGGACTTGCACTGCACTCTTGTTTTCGAATAAGATGGCATTAATAATGTCGTTTCCTCCAATTTCAACGCTGTACAATCCTTCTGCATAGGAATCATCTAGAGGCAGAAATTGTTTGAACGGCAGGCACGCTGGATAAACAATCGGAGGACAAGTCGATGGTATCAGTCGTTGGAACTGATAGGATCATAAAGCTGAACCCACATGCTCAGTTCATTGACATTTTAAGATATGTCCAGATGAAAGTAATGGAATGTAACGCCTTCGAAGTAAATGCGTTCTTTTAATTCGAATAATTCGAAGTAAAAGAACGCAGAAATGTCATTCCACCTATCCATTCTCTCATATAGCTCCGAAACGGAAGGAAGGAGAGATAAAAGAGAAGAGAGAATGATACATACTCAATTGACCCTTCTCAGAAATTGCACTCTGCTTGAGTCTGACATATTCAGTAACTTGAAACTTCAGGAAGATCGGGTTCACAAAAGTGTCGTTGGAAGCAGTTGTTCCGCCCGAAGCAAAGTTCGCTCCATAGTTGTAATCGAATGCACCAGCTTGGATGTACGGTTGCAGGAGGGGGAACTTGAACGCCAGAGCTGTAACGCCAAGACAAAGTTCCACAGAAGTGAGCCTAGCACACCAGCATCGCTAAGGACAAGGCTGATCTACCATTTTTAGATCACGAAGATCGGAACCATCGATTAGTACACCGCCGTGTACCATCCGGCGATGCATGACATTATAGGTACGGTTAGCTCAAAATCTTCCACTTTCGTCCTGGCCCAACCATCGCTATGAATGTATTATGGGCTTTGGCATGGGGTGCCCATTACTCTGATATCACTGGCATACATTTCTGATGAACTGATCTGCCAGTGTTGAAATCGGTGTTCCGCCTGGACATGGGCGAGCGATATCAGCAGATGCTAATGTCCATAATACAACCAGAAAGATCGGATCTGTCCATCTGATCTACGAGTATTTGGGAAAGTGAACACAGGGACTGAACGTACAGAAGAAGTCAGGCACAACACGTCCGTTGCAGTAACGTTTAGCTGGTCGTCCGAAGAACGATTCTCCATAGGGGCTGCGTTCGGGGTCCGTGAACCAAGGGAAGACGTTCAGTGAGCCCCCCGTGTCCGTCAGCGAGTCTCCGAAATTCCAGAAAGCAGTGGGACACGCAGGGTTCCTACTAGCAGTGAGAGCCGGAGCTGCATTGAGTGCGGCGATCATAAACAAGGCTGCTGCGAGCTTGTGCCAAGAAGGGCAGTCAAGGCAGCGAGCTCCTGAGGAAGCACTCATTGTGAACTGAATGTGAAGGCCCGTAGATTGTGCAGAACAAGCAGGCAGTTCAGGTTCGCTTGTTGTCGTAAGTGTGCATACATCTTTTATAGCTCCGAACTGTCACCTGAGGGCTAAGTCTATAGCACTTCGAGTTCTGAATCAGGTCAAATCTGAAGCTGGGAAAAGGTTAACATGGAACTACGAATGCGATTATACAGAGAAAGCAATCATCCCGTGAAAAACGTGGTCGCAATTTGCGTGGAAATTGCAGCAAAGAACATGCAGAAACTAAAGTGCTTTCAATCATCGATACCGCAAAGTCATAATTTGCTGAGCTTCAAAACATGTTCACAAGCTTTTTGTAGTACATAACGCTTATGTAGAGCTCCAGTAAGTTTTGTTCGTGACGATCCTGTGTGTTTGAGGAGTCAATATGAGGAAACGAACTAAAACGAAACTAACCGAGAGGTAAAATTAATGGGACTTGGTCTGATATTTATTTTCTGGTCGAAGAGACTTGTTGTCAGGGAAGGGACGTCTGCAAATGATGATTTTGCATGGCCATGTCTTAACGTTGAGATTTCATGATTTTTTTGGACGTAGGACGTGCATGCCTGCAAGTTCGGATATAGAAGGAAGATATTCTCAGCCGCCAGCTCTTTGGTCCACTGCATCTATCTCTTTGTGAGACGAAAAACTCATATTTGTGAAGGAACTCGTTGTGAAGTATTCACGCGGCAAGCTGAAATTTCACAAGTACAGTATGAAGGAAAATTAAAGCACGTCTGGGTGTTCACCACATCTCTTGATTACCGTATCTTCATGGCGAGTTGTTTTTATTCGTATATGATTTATATTAAAGGTCAAAACGTAGATGTCCATTTGCATTTGTTATTGTGTCAACTCGTTCACCTCATTTGAAATTCATTTCCCACACCAGGAACAACAGTTACTTATCAAATGAATGAAACTCAAAATCTACGGCCCGAAGTCAAGGCACGAAGCACATTTGTCCTGTTACTCGACTTGAAAAAACAAGTGCTTAGCTTTTATTTTTCCTCTAAACCAATGGTTGCGTCGAAAAAGACATTACAACAGAGACCTTCCCCTTAATCAATGCTACCCAAAAGTCGCATACAAAGTCGGTGATGTCTTAAGGACCACTTTAAGGGTAAGGTCCTGTTACAAGGAATCTCCATCTGGAGCTCAGGACAATTGGCAGAAGCATATTTAGCAGTGAACAAATTTAGTTCAGTCTGGAAATAGATGGAGAGGACTGTCGGAAGACGGACATGCTACTTTGGTGAAGAAACGACATCCAGACCTGTATAGTATCGGGCTTCTGCACTGTTTAGGAAAATCTTACTGACTACGTGCAGTAAGATGATTTGACAGGGGAATTCCAGAGCAAGGATCGTGTCATGATTCCAGTTGTAACCTCGGGATCAGCTCGCCTTCATCATTTTCAAGATTATCTTCTATTGATAAAAGGGAAGTAGAGTCTCCACAGCGAAATATACTGCAATTGTACACTTCACGCATTCAAGTGCCTTACCGTGGCACCAAATAATATAATAAATACGTTACAATGAAAAAAACTGCGCTTTCCTCTTAGGTGTTCATCAATGTTGGAAACATGGGAAATAAGAATGGTACACCCCACGTTTGACGTAAAAGTAAAATTAAAATACTGTGGTACCATTAGATTCAGCTGGAAATTCGTCTAACCCTAGGTCGTTGTATATATCCCATCATGAGACTGTTCCATAAGTTTTTAACGAAGTTTCGTAGGTCTCCAGCCGGTCTCATATAGCTTCCACTGGGAGGTAGTGTAAGCAACCACGTCTGTTATCCAAAGCAGGTCCATTGGTATGCAACTTTTTCTGATGCGTAGAACATCTCGTCCATTTTTTATTAAATCCATAGAGTCTAACGAGGTTTTTAGTAGTCTTCAGAGTCTACTTTATACCGCCAATGTATGATCGGCTGTATATACACCAAATATACAGCACTGGATCTGCCGGATTAAGATCCCAAATAATGAAGTTCCAAATCCCAAGTGCACGTGATTGAAAGTTCCTCGATTCAAGTGTAAATGAATCACAACTCCGTGATCATGGGTTTCAAAACACTTCCATGTGTGCAATTCTAACCGTCCTCTTTCTGATACATCAGCTTAAGTCAAAGCTCATGCAATTGAGACCAGGTGCTACCGGGAGTCCAAGAACTAAAATCATTGAAGCCAAGGGACACAATAGAACATACTGTCATTAGCATCTCCCACATGAATCATAGAATTTCGACTTTCATTACTTAAGGCTGTGACGAGTTGGATAAGTGACGAACCCGTTTCTCCAAAGATGGAGGAAAGTCAATGGATGACGGTCATACCTTGATTCATAAGATGCAGTCATGTGAGCAAAAGAGTTGACAAATGGTTCTAAAAATGAGGATGTAAGTTGTGAAAATTATTTGTCATGTGTCACAAGATAATCCTAAAGAAACAAAAGTCGTTAAAATAATCACTTGTTAGAAGACTGGTTTTATCTTTCTCATCTCTAGATCTCATAACAACGCGAGTGAGTTTTAAGGGTGATTATAATGCAAGTTGCATAAATTTCACACTTCTGTCACATACTATAAGTTCCAACAATCAAGATTGATCAAGTCACAACACCGAGATAACTTCGTCCACCTTGCACATGATACATTCATGGACAAGACAAGAAACTTCACTAAAGCACAAGTGTATACATGGCCTCCATAGCCAAGCTCTATTACTTGTTCACTCTCAAAGTGCAACTCTCAACTATACATAATGAATTCATTTTTCTCTCTTCTATAGATGGAGAGATAAGTGCACATTTTAGCTAACCTAATCAAAGTTTACAATCCTAACCATGGTTATTGCTAAATGGAGTTAATTCAAGATAGATTTAAATTAACAAATGACCTCTTGAGTCAAGTCTTGGAGAGATTATTAATGCAATCCATATGTATCTCTCTTGAGAGTTATAGAAAGTAAAACAAAATCACGCTTTACCTCTAAAGGTGAGAGTTAATTAGAATTAAGCCGTAGTCGGCAAAAATCGGATGAAGAATTCATGTACAAAAGTTACTAGACTTACCGTCTCTATGCAAAATTTGCAACTTTGCACAATGCTTGAAAAAAGCTTTCCAATGAAATCATTTTGGTCTATGCGTCGGCAAGGTTGAACTTACAATCAATTCGGATTAGCTTAAGCGCATTTAGACACTGCTTGTTTGATATAATGATATCGCATGTCAATGTGCTAACCCTATCATCCATCATGTTATTTGATCCTAGATGAAATGCACTCTCATTGTCACAATAAAGATTCACATCACTGTGTCAACCCTATCTCAGTGGCTAACTTATTCAACCATATAAACTCCTCTGGTGCTTTTTCTACCACAACGTATTCAGTTTCTGTGAACAATTGAGAAATACATTTTTGAAATGTAGATCTCCAACTTATGCATGTGGATGCATGTTTTCACCCTTGCTAGTGGTAGCAAGAGTGAAAACATATCTAGTTGTTGATCTTTGCTTATCTACACTTCTTCCATAATCAGCATCCACACACTCCAAGAGCGAACCTGCATTGTTTGATCGTGCATCAAAAAATAATCCACTTTTAACAGAACCCTTGATATATCTCATTATCAGCTTCACAGCTTCCCTATGCTCTCTTTTGAAATTTGACATGTACCTAGTCATCTTTCCAACTGCATTAGTTTTATCGAGTCTAGTGCGCACTAATAGATACATATTGTTGCCAGCTGCACTTTCATAAGTAAAAGACATCATTTTTATGTAGTTGCATCTGTTAGACATAAAACTGCCCTAAGTTTAAAGTGTGGACTTAATGGAGTGCTTACCTTTTTAGCATTTGACATGTTAAACCTAGCAAGTACTTTCTTTGTATACCACGTCTGTGTCAACTAAAGTTTGTTTCATATCTTGTCCTTGTAGATTTTCATGCCTAGAATACACTTAGCAAGACCAAAATTTTTCATATTAAACTTAGAATTAAGCTAGACTTTGAGTTTAATAATCTCATATCCATAGTTCGCGGCATTAAACATATAATGTACATACAGCTTGAGTAAAATGAAGCCAAATCTCATGTTGCTAACATGCTTCATGTATACACAAGGGTCATATGCACTTTCTAAGAAGTCTTGCACATACATGAACTCATCAAAACGATTATTCCATTTTTGCTTACATTCATATAAAGATTTAAGCAACCAAAAAATCAAGCGTTTCTTTACTCTCTTCAAAAAACCATGCGTTTGTCTCATGTAAATCACTTTGTCCAACACTTCATGCAAAAAATTTGAAACAACATTCATATGGTCGAGGAATAAATCAAATAATGTGACAATTGCACACAACAAGCATATAGTTAAAAACTTAGCAACTGATAAGAAAACCTCAATGTAGTCAATGCTCTTCCGCAGTTCAAAGGTCATGGCCACCAATCTTGTCTTGAAGATATTCTCAACTACATAAGTAATACTACACTTCATCATGTAGACCCACTTGCAATCTATAGCTTGTTTTTCATTGGTTGTTATGAAGTGACTTCATTTGAAATTCAATATAAGAGTACAGACTCCCATCCTCCGTGATAACTGAGTCATCAACAAGTAGGTACTCTTTCCTAACTATTTGTTTAGTAGGAGACCAAGTACCATACCTTTCGAGCGCACAATGAACACGTGTTGATCTTGTAGTTGAAGACTCTAGTTGATCACTTTGTGCTAGTTCGGGTAGTGATTCACCAACAATGTGTTGCTTTTCATGAACCTCTTTAGAAGCAAAATCTTGCTCTTCTTCCTCGTATTGCTTGCGGTTCATCATGACAAATTTCATGAAAAATCTTGCCCTCATTGATGTTTCGGGAAGATAACTGGTCTTCGTTAGTAGTGAGATCAATAATCTTCACCTTTTTTGATGATCTAGACTCATTGAAAGAAACATCTCTACTAACTACAAGTTTACAGCCTATAGAATCCCAAAGCTGTTATATTTTGATATCATGCTGATAACGAAGAAAAATGCA